ATGGAAAACCTGGAATCACTGGACGACCATCTCGTCCTACTGTGAGACTTTTCAGTAATGCCCATCCACGACCTCGCCCCCTGCGATATTCGAACCCATGACCTATCAATCTCGTGAGCGAGCACTTAACCACCAGACCACTGAGACACTTAATATTACCAGAGTGAGAATCGAAATTAACATGATATAGTTGACGGTTGAATGATTCAGAATAACAGTAGTAGCAAATTGTGGTAAAAAACAAATTACTACTAGTTAGGTTTTCATTCTTTATGTTTTCATGTGGACACGATTACTGTATAAGTTTAATTGTAAGTAATAGTTCATTTCTGTAACTACAAGTTGTAAAATAAACAATATCATCTCGTTTAGTAGATAAGAGCTTTAAATTCAAGCATACTTAATTAAAGCTTACTGTGTCAACAATGGAGAGTAAAACCTTTGAAGGGTACTATTTTCACAGTTCTTTTGTAATGATAAGGAGGAAAATACAGACAGTTTTATTTGTTATCATCATTATTATTGATATATCTGATGTCTGTAATGAAACATTGATCAGTGACAACCATTATTGGAAATCACTTCGATAGAAATATGTTTTTGTTTTAAGCAAAGAACTTTCATGCAGAAAATTCTGTATGTACATAAGTGTGTGCTGTTGCTTATGACACGAAATTCTGATTATATTCGTTTGATAACTGGTTGTTTACGTTTGGCCTCATTTGCAAGAGATACACCTTCTCTCTTTACTGATAAATATTCATCCTCTCTAAAATCTATAATATACATTTCTATTCGGATTTATGTAGCAATGAATATGATTCCAGTACATAAATCATGCTATTTTAAAGATTGTGCTCTGTTGAAAAATTTAACAATGACATTAATTAGGTCATGAGACTTTCTGTCTGAAGAGCATTATTGACAGTGCTTTATGAATTTTTTACTATTTTATTTATTATTAGCTTTATTCAATATTATATGTTCGGTACAATATAGAATTCTCAGCACAAAGTGTTTCAGCAAGCTTACGTTTCTTATTTTTAGATCGATATTGACAATAAATATTTAGTGATCTCCGGTTATATATTAGCATTTCAGAAGTCGACATCTGAATAATATTCATTCTTTTCAGGGCATATTGCCAGCCATCATGATATCTCTGATTGTACATTTTTGTAATTTTTACAACGAAATGTCGTAAACTTTCCACAAACGCACCTGAATAGTTTATACAATTAATTGATATAATGATCTGTTAAAAAAAAATACAGGGAAATAGATAATTTGTTGAAATATCTAGATGGCAGGAACAGATAGCCCAGATATTCAAGCAAGTCTTTTGGAACAATTATTTTATACTGCATATGTGAATTTTGTGCAGACAACATGGAACAAGTCTTTCTAATGAAACAATAATTATTGAAAAGTGTCATAACATTGGATGTATACCAGTCAACTGTGAACATTAGTAATGAACAAATTAACCATAAAATGAATCATAGAAAACATATGGATACAATGATTACAACAAAAAGCTAAAATAGTTCAAATTTGTTAAAATCTAAGACAAGATTTTAAGAAATAATTAATACGAATATGGTTTAATGCTCGTAATGGATTTCAGAAGTGGTTATGTGCTCATTAGTACAGTCAGGATGAGAGATAAAAAGGAAGATTGAGTTGTAGCTACAGTAGTGTTAGGTTGTTGTTTATAGTCGATGAAGATCCTGGATGTATGTTTCGTGCTAGTTGTCAACCACTAGTAAAGCGTATTTGTAATATTGAATGAACTAATACTCATTATCGGATACGAATTCTCATTACCTAGTTACGTAATTTAAGATGTTACCATTAAGCTACTTGAACAGTAACTGACCTCTTGCAGATCTAAGATATTTAAAACCGACTGATAACTACTCACTGACCAATCAATGTCCGTCTATTCTTGAATACTGATTGAGTTCTATCGATCAAATTATAATGTGACCATTAGTTTCAGTGATTGAAAATTGCCTACATAGTTTTGGAATTGTATACGTACGAAACTAATAATCCTCAAAACTGGCCATATATTCAAGCGTATGTATACAAACTATAGGCTGATGTGTAACAATCTATTATTAGTCATTTTAATACCTACCGAAAATAACCAATAGAATTGCGATGACTCATTTATAGTTTTTAAATATTTTCTAATTTCTAACCTGTACACAATCATACTGAATAAGTTCACTTCACAATTGATTTCTTTTAAGATAAAGTTCATTGAAATGTGAAGTAAACCGCCTGTTATCAGATTGATATACTAAGGTGAAAAGTGTTAACGTCGAATTTCTATCAACGTTTCCATTGTAAGTACATTTTGTATAAAATAAATATATACCACCTTATCTAGTGAGTTTATTGGTTTTAATAGTAGTGTTTAGTATTTCAGTAATATTGATTAATATGAATCTTGATTGAATTCTATATCATCAGAAGGGTTTTTGTGGAGATTTTACAAATTTCAATAGTTGAAATCATGAGTCAATTGAAAATAGGCCGCCATGGAAAACCTGGAATCACTGGACGACCGTTTCGTCCTAGTATGGGACTCCTCAGCAGTGCGCATCCACGATCCCACCCCGCGCGAGATTCGAATCTATGACCTATCAGTCTCATGCGCGAGTTCTTAGTCACTAGACTATTGAGCAGGCATCCAACGGTATTACTGTCTAACTTCAACCGATCCACGAAATTACGCCACCGTCCACCATTGTCTTCAGTGAGCTGATATCTCCATTGGTCACGGCTTCTCACTAGAACTCCAGGAAATACCTCTTGAATTCAGTCACTAGTGAGCAGGGATTGGGATCGTGGATGCACACTGCCGAGGAGTCCCATACTAGGACGAAACGGTCGTCCAGTGCCTCCAAGTTTTCCGTGGTGGTCTATTTTCAGTTGACTCATGATTTCAACCAGTGAATTCCATATGATTTATTAATTACTGATATAAAACATAGTTCATACACTTGTGTAAGAAAGGTTTATCTTAGTTTCTGTGACCATATTCTGAATTAATTTCGCTTAAAATGGAATAAGAACCTACAATAGTGAAATTTATAGGCGCCTCAGTAACACAGAACATAAAATAGTTACATTGAAAACTCATGTATGTATGAGCCGAAAAAATTATATCCAAAATTCATCATGAACTTAAAGAATTTGAAATTCGAATTATTTATGTGCAGCTTCAGCTCAGATAGAACTTTGGACTACTGAACAGTTTTGAGTCACACTGAGTTTAAGCGACATTTCATTCATAGTCTACTCCCATAAATAGGGAGTTTACTATACAGAAAAATGTCAAATGCTTTAACCATCTGGTCATCACTGCACTTTAAAGAATCATAAAGTTTGATAAATGTTAACTTCAACATCTGAAAATTGGTTGGATTCTATTTATTCAGATAATAGAAGCCTCACTCATATTCATTCACATCTCCCTAATATGTTAATAGCAGTCGGAAGTTTGTTTGGCAATAAAATTTATCTGTACTGGAAATATGTTTGTATGTTGGAACATTTACATGACTAATTTCTGATAAAGCCGAAAAGTGATTCTTCATTTATTTTGAAACTTCTGTCATGTTACATAAAGAACATCGGATAAAGGAATAATGAAATACAGGAAGTGATTTACTCCAATATAAAACTTCTCAGTCATCAGTATTCATAACACCCTACACCAAAAGTGATAAACACTAAGATGCTTCTACCTTACATCATCATTGATACTTCAAAGTTATCTTTTTCTAATATCATTCAGACTAAGATAAACCTTAATACTTATTCAATGTCATCAGTGAATAACCTATTTAATCCATTTCAATATTACTAATTTTATTGTTTATGAGTTTCTCATTGTAACCAATTCAATAGCAAATACATTGAAGATCGAGTATGTTGAACAAAAAATCAACAATATAAACCAATAGATCAAAGATATTGTTCTTATTATCATATCTCATAGTTACATATTTATACTGTTACCATCCTCAGTTTTATTACCAGTTCCTAGTAAGAATTCCATTCAGTTTTCCTTTTCAATTAAAGTAAAAACTAATTTAGTAAAAGTTTATAGAATATTAACCGAGATCATTTTATGAATCACACAACAAGTGAATGATGTTTCAATTATTTGAATCATCATAATAATGCGTGTTAATATTGTGTAATTGACATAGTTCTAGACGTTGAAATGACCTTGAAAAATTTACTTTATACAATTACTACTATAATAATGAGGTATTGTATTGCATACCATTATATTTAATTTGTTTCGCCTCAGAAGACAATCTAATAAGTGATAATAATAATAATGATGATAATGATGTCATACGATTTCACCATAACCTCAAATTTTTCAAGCAAACAACAAAAAAAACATATCAAGATAAAAGATGATCATCATCTTTTTGCGTGATAGATCATCTAGCTATAGATAACCTCGTCTCTATTATCATTATTATTATCACCGTTACATTTATATCACCATCGTCATCATCATCATCGATACCCCTATATACCATAGATTAAAGGTATTCATGCATGCATACAATTAATAAATAAATAGACAATCATGTGTGCATAGAATCAGAGTCCAAATAGATGATTTGTGAACAATTTGTTTAATATTAGAAGGCCGGTGTTAGTTAGGCAGACATATTATAGATAGACAGTTATACTTTGATTAGCACCATTAAGAGTCATATTCACGTGATTATCTTTTTGAGTTAATAATGCACAAACATTTTATTTGTTTATCGAGTACACCAAATTCACTATAAATTTACTGAATGAATATGATCTGAATCCATTTCTTTCCTTAATATACTACTTACAATTGTATATTTTATTCAATTACTTGTGAATAAGTGTAAGTGCCATCAAGAAAAGAAGAAGAATATCATACTTCAAAAGTGAAACATCAATTATACAAATACGTGAATAACAATATGTACGATCAAACTGAAGTGGAATTCCTTGTTAATTTAATTATTAGTACACAAAAATCAGAAAAATCATTTTCTCCTTATGAATATGACTATCATTCATTAAATACTACTTCACAATTTCCTACAGCATCCACAGCACTTTCATCGCCTGTATCATCTTTAAAATCATTTTCAAGTAAGTTGTTGGTTTTATTTTATTATTATAATGTACTGTATTGTTGTAAAATATGATCATTTGATCCTAGATAACATAACACCTTGTTATTTTACTGATCGGATCAGATTTTGTCTATTGAATATAAATTCATTTGGAGAAAATCTAAATATTGCCTCTCTTACAAATAATAATTTCTGAATTAGTGATTTGATGAATTATGATGGTTTGCAAAACTTAACTATTTGACAATTTTCTTACTTCAATTAAATAATTTATGTGATGCGCCTCGCTTTTCCAGTGATATATTTTGTTAAATTAAAGTTTAGTTCAATAAATCTTCTTGGTATTGATCACAGATCAAATTCATAGTAACAAGCAACACTACATTACAAATAAATTATAATTACAAGAAATGGTCCTAACTTGTAAGGTGAAGACTACCTCGTTGGAGTTTGCGCGATTATTATGATCAATAGTTGGCATGCGAGAGGGCCCGGGATTGTTGCCCGGCACTTCTACATTGCAACAGCCAGTTGCCACACTTTTGTGCTGAGAATTCTATATTGTACCAAAAAGATAATATTGAATAAAGCCATTAATAATAATAATAAAAACATGACTCAGAATCGGTCCTTAGTTTTAAAATTATTTCATACCTTTTTTCCCACTTATTCATTTTCTTTCCTCTCAACTTATATTCATTATTCTTAGTCTTTTTTACCGTTACTTATACTACTTCTGCTACACTGTTTTTCACCTCGATAATTTCTTTTCAATATGCTCTCAACTTGAGCTGATGTACAACAAGACTTGACTTTGGATTGCATACAACTGATTGACCGTCTAAAAATATGAAAATTTACTAGTATTGAAAGATGATCAAAATACATTTTTCGATCTATTTTTGTTATTGATAAAAATTAATTTCTTTGTAAACCTCTTACAGATGCGGTTATATTCAAAGTTGAAACCATTGATAAATTTATTGCATACCTGATTAGTGTGTTGATTAGACGAAAGATAGCTTTCAACTAGGTATCTCTATAGCATCAGTTCACTAATAGAAAGAATGCATTATCTTTAGTCTCCAGTGGTTTAAGAAGAATGCAATCATCTTGATGATAGCTGTAGCAGTAGTAGCACCAATAGTCGTAGTAAAAGTAGTAATTCCATGCACAAACTAACATTATTGCCTTAAAGTCAGAGTATTTTCAAACTACTTGTTTTAAAACATAACTGAAATACGGTTCACACCTGTGACAGTAATTGGAATACTGATTAATTTTAGTTAAACCTTATCAAGTCATAGGGTTTAGTCATACTTAAAATGTTTTGATCTTGATGATAAGATTAACCATATTCAGTCAAACTATTTGTTAACGGATCCCATCAGCCAAGTGATGCAGTATACATACATTCATGTTAGTGATTCTAAAGGGTTAGATTAGTTACTATACATCTATCATTGTCAGTTCATACAGTCACTGAAAACATCATTTGGTATAAACATACAACTAGTTAATCTTCCTAATTCTTCTTTAACCAATCAGCAACCAGATCTTATAATATAATTAATTACCAGATAAGCTTTAATCTGACGTTTGAACAGATGATCACCATATCCATGTCTCTCTATCTCTAAGTTCATTAACCATTATAATGTATATGTATATCCTTAGTTTGTAATATATTCCATAGTTTAGACGGTTCAAATCTTCACTCCATCAATTAGGGCTCCAAATTACAATGAAATACACACACACACACACCATGAATAAAATATTTTGGTTAAATCGAAATTCTATTTTGCATACACTAACAATAATATTATCTATCAAGGTTACAACCAGATCAGACTATTTCTTCTGCAAAAGTGTATCATATTTTTTCATTTTAAAAAAAACATATGAATTATTTCTTATCGTTCATAGTTAGTTAACTAATTAGTTGACCAGTTAAGAACGTGTTGACTGTCGTTTGAAGTTGAATATCGCTTCAAATGTTTATCTCAATCTTCTTTTCTTTTTCTTTCGTTTCTGTTGCTTTTTTTTCCTAATTTAGATTCCGTTTTTTTTGTTTTCATCCGTTGAATATTAGTCTATTTCTTCGGTATTTACGTGTGGTTCATTTTGTCGAAATCTTTTGTATTTCATTGTTTTTATTTTATGTATCTTCTTAAAGTTACTTTTATTTTAAACCATGAGTGAGATCATATCTAACCACTAATTATTATCATTACTATTGTTCTTGTTATACCTAGATCATTGTATGTATAAGAAATACTGACTGTTTATTACAAATCTCATTTTCACGAATCAACCTGTTTCGACTGCTGGGAACAGTATTGTGTTATTAGTTTACAACTCATTTATCAAGTACATATTTGTGTACTGAAGTTTGAATGATGTGAGGGCTAGTTATATCAGGTAACTGATTAAAGCGAAGTAGTTTGAGAATGTGAAATACTATAGTTGCTACCCAATCTTATACACACATTCACTTAGTCAATCAGAACAGTCGAAAAAATTTTCAAAACTATTCGAATCATTGACTATTGATGCATGTAATTATACTTAGAATCCTTCTCATTATTCGAATCCTATTGATGATGATACGTCTCTCAAATAGTAATATATTAAGGGATAATATTTAAAATTTTGTTTTAATGATTAAAAGTATTGAATACAGTGAATACCTAGGACATCATTATATATGTAAAACTGTGGAGAAGATTTGTAGCTCAGGTCAATAAGAACCAATCAACATCGAGGTGAATAGAACAAGTTGTGAAACACATATGGAGAAATTCGAACACTTCACTTCTATCTGAAGTTTGTGCTGATAATGTCGTTCAGAAGAACGATGAAAGCTCCACGACCAAACCATCTAGCTCAAAGAACAAAACTCTACCAAAATATGTAAAACTGTACTGAAGCAAATTTACGATACAATTTATTAACCTGTATAATCATATTCAAATAACATGGTCAATGAAACCAGTTAAAAAATCGATAAATTCAAATGAAACGATTTTATCTATCTATTTAAGTTGTTTAGATTATGAACTTAGACACAATAAAATAGAGGAGATGAGTCATTTAAAAAAATGAAGGTCATGTATAATAAAAATCAGCATTCGGTTTGGGGGACATTTAGGTTGACACTATTTGTTTGTGTCTTATATAGACATATGAATGTGACCTTGAATAAATAAAATATAAAGTTGATACAATCAGTATTTAGACAAAACTATTTGAGAAAGGGTAAAATAAATTTTTTTTTAAAAAAAACAACCTAGTTTTTAGCAGGATAATAATCACGTTCATATAACATGTGAATTATGTTGTTAAACAATTCTGTCATAATAGATTTTCTGAGATGGTAAAGAGGATATTTAACATTGTAAATATAGTAGAAAGTTAGTTCTCATCTCTAACTAGGATCGACTGAAGAACTAAGGATTTGAAATTAAAACTATGATGAATAAAGTGTAATTCTTGAATCTTTGATAGACGATTTGAATATTCATCTGGATCAAGGTCATGTTCATTGTATTGAAGCATAATTTTCTATATTCCATTGAATTACTGACTCATGTCATTGTCTTGAAAGCATTGAGTGTTATTATATAGTGTCATAAAGATTGTCGAAGTTAAAATTTCACGTAATGCACCGACTGTGGTTAGATAACTACTGACAATCTGATGAACAGTGAGGTACACGGATATACAAGGGATATATAACCCAGAATCCCCAGGCCTAATTTTGAGCATCTGACCTTCAGACCAAAATTGGGGTTTAATAGTTCATATTTCTAACTTCAGTCAATTTGCGATATTTTGTGTCCATTATCCACTACTATTGATGATATTTGTATCACTTCTGATGGTTGAACGTCACTGGTTACGGCTTTTCTTTAGAACACTAGGAAGATAAGAACACACGGCAATGTTCAAATATCCTGGTTCTGATACCCGATGGGGTTTAGGATGTGCACTGTTAAGGATTTCCATATTAGGATGAAACATCTACCCAGTACTTCATAGTTTTCACTGTTTGTTTAATTAAAATAAATTAGTGATATCAAACTGTAAATAGTGACTGTTTTGTTACTATCAACAATGTCAATTTAGTGAATGAAATATTAAGTAGGTAATTACGGTTACAATTACTTTTAATCATACTCTTAATAACACATGTCCCAAACATTTCATCAAATGAGCTAGTTGGTATATGTGTTACGTATGCCAAACCACCTCCCACTTTGACGGACGATGATCGTTGGTGCAGTAGTAGACTATAAGAAGGCTAGGGATGACCAAATTGACAGTTGTTTTGAGTTCCAGATGTCTTTCAATTGTAGAACGTCATGCCGAACTAAGATGTGGCACCAGTTCATGAATTAATTGAAGACTGAACTATACCATGCTAATAAGTGTACACTACCTGATTAGAGTCCGTGTGGTTTATAGTAACCAGCAGTTATAAACTTTAGTTGATACGGCTCAGAATCGATTGTAATGGTCCAGGTGTGTTCACTCATTGGTTTACTCTTGAACATGTGTCCTAAAATCACCTTACACCATACCACTTTGTGATGTCTTAAAATAATCTAATCTCCATGTATCAATGTGATAAGGCAATTTAAACCGAAATACATATTTGTCACATCTTACGTTGCATACAATTAACTAATGACACCATCTGTATTTCTTTAGTCTAAACATTTTTATTAATGTATGTGCACCTTAATTGGTGAGTATATCTCTTATGAGAAGTTGAAATTTGGTTAATAGTTTTGATCTTACAAAATAAGTTTACTAATTATTAAGTCTTTCGAGTACATAGATAGGTTGTTAATTATTCCTAAAATCTATGTTATTAAACTCGACATTGACAATAACAAACTAGTGTGATTTTTTCCATATATTGTGTGTAAATTATCACCTACCCCATAGTGCACAATATTATTGAGAGGACACATTTGCTTTCTAAATAGGTTAAGCTCAGTAAATATTCTAAATATGGTTGTTTCTATAATATAAAGAGTGTAATTAACTCAATTATTTAAAAAAAGGAATAGTAACGTGTTCTTACCAGTACACAACCATACATAATTAAATGTTCCAGGGTAACATTTTTTGTTATTTCATAAACAATACTGTACAGTTTTGTTATTTATGACTGTGAACACAATTAAATTGATGTCAGTTAACCAGGGTAAACAAAGAAGCATCAGAATAAGAAAGAATGAGATCACCAAAATTGTAAATACAATGTTGATCATTTTTAGTGACGTGCTGTCCAAAAGTTGGATAGTTACAATAAAGTTCAGTCTGTTTAACTATATGTGTATGATATCCGATGATTCTTTGCTACTGTTTATCACAAGAGTACCTAGAAATTTATCGATGAAGAATAATTGTTTAATTAACAAATGAATATATGGAATAACTCATTAGTATAGTTTGAATCATTAACCACTCTATTATATTGTATCACCTTTCACTTTTAAATGATAGTAACAAGAATAGTAAAATAAATGGTGTTCTCGTTTACTAACTTGAAAGTTGGTATTACATAATCAGGTTGGTTATATCATCAAGTCAGGGTGAGCATCACTAATGCATGTAGTTTTAATGTATCAGAGTGTTGGAGATAACTGCCTGAACGATAGAATGTTTTTAAATCTTGATATTGTGGTTTGTTCTAAAGTATTTGTTATTATTAAGATAACTTTGGTGATCTATTCGATCAACTCTAAGAATCAAACAAAATGGTTATTTCTCAGTGGTAATTGATGTTCATTAGTTTAATAAATGTATCTGCTCTGATTAGATTTTTATTAACGCCTAACAATAATCACAATAGTCATCACAACTTTATAAAGATCATACATTCAATCTGTTCCCATCCTCACTATCCTATAACAGTCTTGATGTTAAATTAAAGTCAACAATCGAATGAGCTCCGTTACTTTTGTACAGAGTCCAATAGATTCTTTGCTTCAGTTTTTTTCTTTCTTAGTTGACAATGACAGAAACCTGTGATTCTTATAAAGCTTAAAAATCACTCAAAATCATATCCGGGTTCATTAGTTCAGAAGTTAAGCATTCGTGCTAGAGACCAAAGGCCGTGGGTTCGATCCCCGATAACGAGCTTGTGAGTGAGCACTGATAAGGAGTTACACATTAAGAATAAACGAGGTCTAGTGTCTCTAGGTTTTAAGTGATTTCCTAGCATTGATGGGTTCATGATCTCAATAAAATTCAATAAGCTCCACAACCTGAAATGCCATTTTGTTTGTCTAACTTTCTTTCCGAGAATAAACCATTTTTAAATGTTATTAATTTGTGTGGCGTATGCTTGATCACTACTTGCCTCAACGTATGATGTTGTCTACGATGTTGAGTGTGAGATCAGAAGAAATCTATCAGTGGTAAGACCAATACGTGATGTCAGTTCATGAAGTTAGTGATTGTTAGACTAAACAGTATAGGTAGGCACAGATTATCTGGTTGGGGTGTGCGTTATTATCGTAACCAATGGTTAGAGATTTTGGATGACATGACTTAGAATCAGTCGAAATGAAAAAGATGCATTCACTCTTATCTTTCATTGGATCTTGAGTTTTAAAATTATCTAATGCCTTCTTTCTTCTCGTATCATATTATCGGTATTTAGTGTTTTCTAACATCGTTGATATTGTTACGACTTCTACCAATCTGACAGTTGTTTTGATAATTTAGTAACACTGTACTAACGCCATGTGAAATTATTGCCAGTTGGCTCGAAGTGTAATCTGAACTTATCAGGAAATGAAAGAAAAAAGACTGTCAATTTTCAGTAGAATAACTGAAAATCAATGATATTTTAATAGATTTATTCACTTTTAAGTAAACACACAAACACACTGAATAATATTTAGTTTATTTATATAGATTTATTGATATATGCATACCTACACCCCAACAGAGGTCATGATTATGAAATTATAAAGTTGGGGATAATCAATAATCGATATATTATGATTATTTGTTTTTCCATATATCAGGCTAACAGTTGTCACTATGACATGTACATGCATTTGTAGCAACGTATGTATGTATGCATGTACGTATGTGTATATAAAGACACCATATCATTGATAAAAAGTCATGATCACTGTTGATAATTTGTAGAAATTTTTATCATCATAATCTAACATCGAAAAAGGCTACTGATTTATTGTTTCATTCTAATTTGAAGTTATCTCAACAGTATTGACTTATTACTTCTTCAATGGAATAGAATTTTAAACTCTCATAACCTGTGGCAAACATGTAGCAGCTGTCATTCCTTTTCTGATAGAGTTTATAATCGCCTGTGATTTACGAATTGTCAATGACTAACATAGATTCACTTGACTTATCATAGTTTCGTCGTCATCAGTATAGAGAGCTTGTGTAGATTGTTGAATTTTGACGTACATGGAAAACCCGAACTCGCTGGATGTGTCTCGTCCTGATAGGGGAGACCTTAGCTGTACATATCCGCGAGTGTGAGGAAGTTCCCCGCCAATGACATTGAGAGATCCTTAAATAATATCTCAAATTGATGGATGTTAGAAATCAGACCACTACATGGTGACTCAGTGGTACAAATGCTAAGAAAACTTCACAAAACCCATGGTAGCATGATCTTGGTACACAACTGAAGAGTCTAATGCCAGGGTGAAACAACTATCCAGTGCTTCCTGATTTCCAATGATGGTATTGTTGAAATCAGCTCGTGATGTAAACTATAAAATTCCAGTCAGCGAATAAATTCAGATTAATGAAAGTGATGAATGCATGTAGTAAACAATTAATCCGTGTAGGTCTGTATCATCTAGATTATATTTAGGAAAGTATGAACAACTTCCATCGTTCGAAATTTCAAGCTTGAGGTTAACGGTAATTAACGTTTCAATGGTTCATTAGCTATCATATTCCATCTGAAACTAAATTTATTCTTACAGAATAATATAAATTAATGGATAGTTATTATTTTTCTTCATATAACTATGTAACTTATTTTTTCTTTATCCATGCGTATTCGTTCTTATTTCTTTTGTGTGTAGATTATCGTCCCCGTCAAAAAATTCTTATTTGTGGATTACCAGATGATATATCCCCTTGTTTAGACTATGCAATGATAGCGAAACCTGGAATGATTGACTATTCATCTCTAATTATTGCCAGTACTGATGTAAGTTTACACAATTACTAAAATACGTTTATTAATGAGCTTATTTATGAGTGATGATGAATTGTCGATAATGATTAGTGTGTTTTCGAGATGTCTTCACATTATGGAACACTTGCCATACTGTATTACAAGTTTGAACCACTCAGGCATCATCAATTTTTTGAATATTACATGTATGCCTTTCTAACAATTGTCAAATAACACGAAACTTAGACAGAATTTCCCGCCAACTATCTCCAACCAACTAACGGTTCAGTTCTATGTGCATCTTCTGTATATTACTACTAATCCCCATCAACTGAAGTGTGATTTGTGGCTGTTATGGTTTATTCATATAGCGCACTAATTCCAAGTTGGCTATCTCAGTTAATGACTTCATTTAATAGTTGATAGCCCAAGAAATATCTATAACCCTTTTACTAAGCTGATAACCATAACTCCAGAAAGATCGTACCATTTAAACTTAAGCCAGTCAGTTAGTCACAATGTAGAACCTAGCACGTATGTACATCGGTTCAAGTTGTCATATCCCATTGGCACACAGAGATGAAATTGTCAGATCAAACTCCACAATAGTAGAGGTAATAACAGTATCAGTGGAAATAGAAAATATTACTCATTGAACATACAACTCGACAAGAAGATATAAATTAGTGAAATAAAAACACAAAAAGTTATGATGAATTCACAACTCAGAGTCTGAGGAAAGACACAGAATGCATCCATCTGCACCACTGCGAACGATTTTGAGCCATATAATTCAAAACCTCTGACCACTGGTTATGATAATGACGTGAACCGCAACCAGGTAGTATACTGCTACTGTCATTACTCAGTTCAACTGTCATTGACTTGATGGACTGATGTAATGTTTTGATTTGGCTACCCCTAACTTCCTTATAGTTCACTCTTACACCAAACAACATCACTCATCGAAGTAGACAGTGCCTAGGCACACTTAACGCACACCTCAAACACCTCAGTTGATGAGGTTCTGCTACCTCATCAGTCGACTTGCTATCTTTACCTAGTACCCTATTCCTAACCCAGACACTGTTTACTCCCTGGTCCAAAAATACATGATCAATGCTTCGAAGACAGCTATGATCTCATGCTAGTAACCTGTGAATACCCACTATTCCTAATGACCAGGTTCCCATCCCTAAAACAGAACGGAGCAAACTGCTGTGCAGTAAATTCATCGTTTGGTTGTCAGACAATTATCTCGCCTACGCCACAAGTTGCCAAAAGTCGATCGAATCTTCTTAATCCGTTCTTAGATTTTGTCAGACTTTCAAACTCATGTGGTTGTAGACGTGAAATATAAAATCATAACGTCCTGAAGTTATGCATAATAATCATTCAACTGATTGATCCACACGTAATCAATAACATTGTAGTTTATTAGTCGTTGAGAGCAACAGTACAATCTTAATGAAATTCTTTCCACATCTAATGTTATCAAAGGAGATTCACTTTATCCAATTGTCGAGACATCCTAAAATTTATTTCTATTCAAATGATTTACCATGAAATTTTCCCTTTCAACAAATGTAACATCATTATAAACTAAAATTTTATCCATATTATGCACTCAGATTGCATGATCAGTGAATTCAACAAACTATGAGACAGATGCCACTTGATATTTATTTAACTTCATGCATTCTAATGCATTTAAATCACATGGACAACTATCAGTTAGGTACCGACACTTATGTATAGATCTATGAGGAGGTGCATCACGATATACAGTCACGTTTTCACTTTTCTAACTATTTTTTTTCACATATAAATCACTGAAAAATTTGTAATGAATAAACTCATGAATGGTGTGAAAAATATAGCGAAATAAAATATAATTTGTCAGAAAAAAATAAGGTAATTAAATATTACACCAATGTGTATTATCATTGCCACCAACACATAAAGAGACAAATCATGTAAATTAATGATCACCGATTAGTTTCTAAGTATGTTTAGATACATGTAGGTGGGTAGATTGGTTGGTTTATGCATTCCACTAATCGACTCTATTTTTAATTGGTATTTCAAACTTCTCTCGACATTTGAAACTTGTGTAACCTATATATGACTATTACATTTTGTAATGCTTAATTATTGATTAGAGATATGAGTATAGTCAGACAGATCAAATCGGTTTAGAAACAGTACAAATTTTTCTGTTGTACGAAAAAGATCTCTTCTGTTGATAGGCTATGATGAATCAAAAATCACGTATTTTATTGTTATACTTTAGAATTTCTCATTAAGGTGAATGAACACAGTTTTGGTGAAGTTTCAGTCTCTGAGTTATATGGTTTAATCATCAAGCTTTTTCATCGACTCATTTAAAAATAAATAACTATGAAGTGAAGAATTAAGTCAATTTAGGAGGAAACAATGAGAATTAATGTGCAGATAATGACAAGTGGCAACAACCAATCAAATATAGTGTTAATAAAATGAGCTTTTTGTTATATTAGTATCGGGAATTTGTGAAGATTGTAGTATTTTCACCGTTATAATCACTAACTGATCTTAGCCAGACCACCAGTGGAAACCTAGAAACACTGGATGTCCGTTTTATCCTAATATGAGACTATTCGTCCGAAGTGTGCATCCACGACTTCGCACGTGGAAATCAAACGACTAACCATTAAACCACTGAGCTGACATCCAACGATGTTAGTGTCTAACTTCGAATAACTCCCTTCTATCTAAATTTTGTGTTAATGATGTTGTTTAGGAAGACATGATTAATTCATGATTAAGCTACCGAGCTAAGACAGCACAACACCGACACCAAAATCATCCAACTGAGCTGCGAATCTTCTCCACTATACTTGAGTTTATAAAGATAAGTAATTAAACAGTTAAGTGCGAATTCAATGATTAACTTCAATAAATTTTATGGTATTGGTACAAACATCATTCTATGTTATCACGTCGAGTAACTGCGCTTCATTTTTGACTTAAGTTCTTAAGCAAAATGATAACTTTGCCATCAGGTGGGGGAGAACACACAACGTAAAAGCTAGCTAGAACTAGTAAATAACAGATGATTTCTATTTAAAATTTAATGTATTCCTGAGAAAAATTAGTTTTAATCAAATACTGATAAACGTTAATCCACTTCACAATTTGATATGCCTTATCAACCATGACAATGGATAATTAACATTCGTGTTACATTCGATTATGTCAAACTAACCGGGTATTTTATAATTTACGTCACGGACTGACATTACTTGAATGTTACCACTGGAAGCCAGGAAGCAGTGTATGGGTGTTTTGTACCTGATATGGGACTCTTCGGCTGTGTACATCCACGACTCCACTGGGGACTGAACTCAGGACCTTCGGGTCTCGAAGTGATTCTCTAACCTTCAGGACATTGAGTCAGCATTCAATCAAAACCATAATTGGCTGTTCTGGGTTTGGTCTGTATTGGGGGTCTCATACAAAGACAAAATGTTGTGAGATTCATCCTGGTATGTGACGGTTGTCTTACTAAGATATATCCGTGGTAAAAACTATAAGATTCAATAATCTCCAAGATCTTTTCATTAAACTGTCATGATACGAAAGTAATACTGAATATTATTGTGTAAGTTAATGCAGTTCCGTTGTTCATGATAAATCAGTCAAAAAAGTAATGTTTCGATTACTTAATTATGTCTTATTTAAAGATTTTCATCAAAAAAGAGTAAATATCTACTTATCTACCTGTCAAGGCATCGGTTCAAGGTGTCTATACACCAACAATGTTTAGTACAATTTGATTAGGCTATTTAAATATTGGTATATTTGGAGTTATTTGAAAAAAACAAACAGTTTAACGGAATATATCATACGTTCAAATATATTACGATAATCGTTATCGAATAACGAAACATATATCATTTTGTATTATTCTCATAAGTATTTCGCTTCGAATAAAAAAAACAATGACACCATGTGAAAATGCAAATTCTTTAACAATATATATATATATAATCTACTAGGTCACTCATATGACTATCTCATCAATAAATACATTTAGATAATATAATCATACCAAAATATATCTATTAGACATAGGTAAATATTCATGTTAAAATAGAAAGTGAATCGTTATTAGGATACAAAACGATATAATGACAGTTACACCATGGGATCAGATACCTCCAAATGCCCTGGTACGGCCAAGGGTGGGGAGAGTTCGTTCTCCTCGAAATGCTCACACATTGCCATACGTATACAGCTACTGTCAGGGAAGTCCTACTCGCTGCCTTCTAGTGGCGGGGGGGTTGTTTACGAAATTGAGAGGACGAAAAGCGAATGTCCGGCACTTCAACCGGGTTGGTGAACACGGAGAGTTCACCTAGGGGAGTTGGAAAACCCTGATTCCAAACCAGTGGTGCACATGGGCTCCAAGGTCCTGAAGGGACAAATGGCGTATGAACTTGTTGTTGATCATCGGCTACCATGGGACTATATCTCCTAAAGTTGCTCCACTGCCTTGTGGATTAATACTTTACGTCGAAGGCTCCGGGTGTGGCCCCCTAGGAGAACCACCTGCTTCGGTCTGGGGACCCAGGGAGTATCATAGCCCACACACAAATCAAGTGACTTGTGTGGCTTATATGTATTCGATGCCCCTTTGTACCAATATCTATGTGTTCAAATAAATGAATATAAAAGCAAATGATTTCTAATCCCTTCTATTTAATACTGTGATTTATTCCATTGTTTATTACATCGTTAAATAACTATTTCGTTCGAAATTTCTCGATAGTTCCATAGATATTTATTACAGTAAACATGTTGAGCATTAGTCTTGCGTAGAAATAACTTATCCCTATATATTCGTAATCAGCCAATTAATGAATAATTCTCAGTAGTTATATCAGTATGATGGTGAATCATCGGTTGGGCAACAATTGGAGTAACATTCTATTCTTGAAGTGCGTTGTGATGCAACACATTGTACTGTAATATGTCATAGTAATAAAACCCAGAAATAATCTTGATGTAAATCGAAGATAAATTGTCAGCTTCATTGTGACCAATAATCAATATACCAATGAAATCATTTAGTTATACCAGTTGGGTAATTTTTTTTGATAAACAACACTCTAATAACAAGATTTTTTCATAAATTCATTCGTGAACGATAATAAAGAACTGTTATATAGCCCTGACAAAAGATAAATGTAACTCATTAACGAAACAAAATCACTTCTATACTATTTGAAAAATTACATAAATATATTGTCCTATAGCCCCTTCAAGATATTACGTGACAAGATCTCTTATCAGAACACCGACTTATACGACCTTAGCCCTATGCCAAACCAATAACGAGTTAACCAACACGAACAGCCTAGAGTCAACTCAGTTCTTACCGGTTCTTCTAGCCTTGTCCTGCCCATTCAGTCCAGAACACAATCTCATCTACTACTTCAAGAATCATATATTTCAGTTTATGTACGCAGTTTATGTACAAGCAAATCAGACCACATCACACCATAAAATAAAAAATGACAAGATCAAACTAAAAATATCTGTGAGTGTGAGACTGTAACTAATAGATTGGGAATGACTTAAGAATAGTAAATCGTATCGCAATAGCCAATAGGTAGAATGAAATGAATACGAATATATATAATTCTCTCGTACTGTTTATCTGAACAAGATTACGATTATTTGTATAAATTTCAGTATGATAAATACATATATTTCCATACATTTCTCAAAAAGAAACCATGTGATTTGAACTTTTTTTAAGAGGCTAGAAACAGTGATACAGTGGGTGGTACATATTAAATTTTTAGGTAATAATATGTATATGCATAGATTATCATAAGTAAATTACGTGCTTACACAAATATCAATGTTGTTATTTTTCTTTATTCTAATTCAATCATGAATCCATGACTGGATTATGTTTGGGTATTTTAATAACATTCATTGTATTTATTTTCGTAGTTATCACAGGGTGGTATTTTTTTATTACGATCCAGTGTTCTGTTAACAATTGCTACCTAAATTGTAATAAGTAGTTATTTAAATAGTAATTTTTAGGTTGTGGGGAGGGAGGACAATAATAGCTTATCGCTAATACACTGAGTTAAAAGATCAATATATTCCACTATGTGGACCAACTTTCATTCTCATTCTTAGATAGACATATTCATCTTAATGTTGTTGAGTTCTCTAACATAAGTAGTTTAACTGAGGAACTTTCTTTACCGTTTTCGACATCATCGAGGTTTAATTCATGTAGAAGTGAACTTCTTTTGTAGGTGGTAAAAAAACCAATCACAAGGAAAACCGTAAGAGTGAACTAGTTTAACTCTATTGAAATAACTAAGAGGCTCACTTCTGTAAGAAGTAAATACCGATAGTGTTATTCAGAATGACAATAAAATTTTCGTAATTAATTCATCTGGCTGATAGAAACTGAATAACATCAAAAGTATCCAAATGAGCTGCAAATTGTCTTCACCAATTTAGATATCTTCATTTCCATCTATGAAAAAGAGTGGTTTAGTGGTTTAAGAGTAACTGTCTATTCGCTATTTGGTTGTAAGTTCAAACACCAACCTATATAACTTTGTAAGCAAAGATAGATGGTGACTAGCAGTGGAATCCATGACGTGCGTTTCGTTCTGTCTGTGACTCGTCAGCTGGACGTACCTGCATCCGAGTTGATGGTCACTCCGGTGCTCGAACCCAGTACCGTACGCTTCAAACACATCACGATATCTACTTAGTTAATGAGTCCAGATAGTCACTAGCTTATACAGTGGGGTGAAGTTTAAATTCACTTTTGTATTGCTTGCTTGAATCTTCTCACTGATGTTTAGGACTGCAACTGATCAGTCTCTTATTGGTATATGTGTATCCTGTAGGGATTGCCTTTGGTTTGGTCATGTGTAAACAAATAAACTTTTAGTTATCTATCTTAGTTATATTGAAACTCTGAAACGAACAATTTTTTCGTAACTTAATAATCATCGGATAGTAGTCTACAATAATTTAGAGTCACTAGTTGAACGGCTGTAAAAGTTAATTGGTATTGTATTTCTCAAACTATATTTTTCAGTGTTTAAAGTGTTCACTAGTAGTAAATTATACATTTCTCAATAATTTTAAATCATTGTGACTAATAATGAACATAATTAATGGGATAAAGGTAGCCTAGACTGTACTAAACGATGACTGAACTATTCACTTATTTACATATCCTCTTTACTACCTTTTTTCAGTGTAAATACTTGTTAGATTTTATAGTTTACATCATACACTAGATTTAGTTAGATAACCGTCGGAAACTAAGAAGTACTGGACAAGTAAGAGTTATTGGCAGATCATAGATTCACAATTCCATAGGGGATTGAACTTGAGACCTTTAGATCTCTATACAAGAAATTACTCGTAATGTAAACTATAAAACCTAACAATCTTCACACTTTCTCCCCCCTCTCTGCACCAATACTTATTAGACTGTTATTTAATTTTACATCTAGAGAATTGTGGTCTATTTCGGTATTAGTATTACTCTTATAATAGACCTAGTCCCAAAATTGTAGATTTGTCATGATGTGACTACCTAATCTATAAGATCTTACGTGGAAGTCACGTCATAGTTTATACTGACTCGACGATCAGCAATATGCCGTTTAACACTTCTGAAGAACATATTTGGGCTGGGTAGAGATTAATTTATTCAATATAAAAAAAAACGAGGGGTTACATAGAGTGATCACGCCTTCATGACCGAGTCATGTCTCAGAGTGTTACATGTTGAATGTATATCTTTTCAGTAATTATATGCTCGGCTTCAAAGATTGTGTGCTTATGAACCAATATCACTACACACCTTATCTGTTTTAAATTGTTTCATGTACTTTTTCATCTTCCTTATTTACTTTTTGTTATTCGCTATGTAGATTGACGAATTAATTGTAAATTATTTTGGAAAAATTAAAATTCATCTTGTCAATTGGGATGAAACAGACTACGAAGAGATGTTAATTGAACGTGTACGACCGAGATCAGATAATTTTGTTATTCCGTTGGTGATTGAATTTCAACCAACTATTAGACGAATGAAACGAATTAGAGAACTATTAGAAAAGGTAAGAAATAATAATATGATAGATAATGGAGTATTTAAAGATTACATACTTTCTCTCTTTGTGTTGTGTGTGTCCCTTGATTTCGACTAACAAAATTTGATGTTTTGTGTTCTTACGAGTAGTTTAATAAGAGATAAATTTGAATAGATGTCAGTTCTCCCGTGGATTACATTGATAACATGAACTTTTGTTTAAATGATAATATCAAGATAATCATGTTAGAATGTACACATGCTAATAGCAGCTGATCAATAGAAATCTTTGATATTAACGATGGGAAAATATCAAATTTTTACCAATTCACTGCATACTGGTCTTAGAAGTTAATGACTGTTTTAACTGAATAGTTTCATGGATAACACATTTGGTTCAAGTTCAAATGAGTGACCATTATTACATTACGCTGTAGGTACATCCAACTGACAAGTCTCAAACAGGACAGACTGTATATCCTAGATTCAACTGGTAACCCCAATCTATCTATTCTATAACATTATGACAATTGAAAGTTTTTGTATATAATGCAGAAATGTGTTATTTTCTTTGGAATTAAATAATAAACCCGTCATTATCATCATGATGATTTACATTAACGTGTACTTAGGTTAGCATTTTATACCTCATTACTATTGATTATAAGAAGCACAATATGAGTTGTGTATGTAGCTCTTGTCCTCTCTCTATCGTTTGTTTTTTTTCAAAGAATAAATTTTTAATGCTAATCATAAACACGAATAGAATAAACAATTTATTGTTAAAAATTCTTATAACTCAAAGAAAATTAACCGTAAACACAAGACTGAAATGTGTGTTCAACTATGTGATGTATTGGAGTTTGCCTTATCTCTTTCTGTTTCCTCATTGAGATTCAATAAACTTTGGAAAAAAACAGAATGATACACTTTTTCCCATTTAATTGGTGCCAATATATATATATATATATATATATATATATATATATATATATGTACTGTTATTTTTTAATCACTAGTAGGGGAGGGTTGATGTAGACCAATAATAAAGGTATGTAAATTAAATTCACACATAGACTAATCACGACTAGTGTGTAGTGAAAATACGTGATCATTTGGATCACAGGATGTGTGTGTGAGTAAAAAGCGATATATATATATATATATATATATATATATATATATATAATGTCAGCTTAAATTCAATAGATATTTTCTCTTAATTTATGGCTAGTTATACAGTATGAAGGATATTAAGGTCTATTACAAGTTGTGAATGATATCCTGCTTTATTTTGTAGTTCATTAGAAAATTAACACAGGTTATTGATTCGTTGTGAACTGTTGATTTATCAGCTAGTAAATAGTCTGTGTTAGTTCTTTCTAGACGATCATAGAATATACACGACTAGTTTAAGCTCGGATACTGTTACATTACATCAGTTGCAATTAAGGTTTTTACAACTACAGAGAAAATAGGAACCAACTATTATAATCTGCCTCGAACAATTTTGAAAATTGTCACATCTTTTATTGTTACTGTATCGATTCAAGTTGTCGCATACTTTTAACGTGCAAACAGAAAGGAAATAATTTGCTTAGAAACAAAACACAGTTTATTTGTATCAGCCTAATTAGCGTTATCATCTATAAATTCCTATTGAACAATGTCATATCTTGTAATAATCAATAAAGCAATGTACATTCGTAGATGCGCACTGCTGAGGGGTCCCATAGCAGGACAAAACGGCTGTCCAGTGTTTTCCATGGTGGTCTAGCTTCAATTGACTCATGATTTCAATCAGTGAAACATATATGAAACTTATTGGTGTGTGTATTTTTTCACTAACAATTCTGGTATTTATCATAGTTATATTATTTCCATTATAAACTTAACGATCCATCTTAAATGAACGTTAATACCAAATTCTACGTACATTTTAAGTAGTTCACAATAAAAACAGACGTGTTTCTACGTGAAAAATATTATGTTAAACACCACATACATACATATATACGTCTGGTATGGTTTCCAAAATACAGGATCAATAACAAATATAAAGTGAGTTAGTTAAGAACAAAAATCAAGGTCTCAAGACTGTCTGATGAATTACTGAACATAACTTTAATGCTCATTCAATACTTAACAACCGCTTGTGTCATTCACATATGAACTATCCTGTTACAAGTGGATACTTCAAGCTGATAGACGAGAACACATAAATTTTGTTGGCTAAAATGTGAAACATAGATATAAAAGTGCTGGGAAATGTATTATTTCCCAAAAATCGCCAAAAGCGAGATTTTTTAAAAAGAAATAATCACTACATGGAGTTTTAAAATCACGGTTTTGGCATTGGAACAGGCTCTATGGAACTATTATCCTGATTAGCTAATAATTGAGGACACAATGAAGATCAAAACAATTTTCCATGTATCACTGTCAATCAAACCAAGGGAACAAATCTTTTGTTTCCTTTCATCTTTTCAATAGTTATCGGGTAAGGACTGAATTAAGAGTTATTAGTACAAGTTCGGCTGAAACATATTTGTGTCGAGTTCACTCATTTTGTTAAATTCTCTCATTAATACTTCGATTTATATATCTGGCACCATTCATAAAAAAATAGCCCATCTCAAATATATGTAGTATCAACTGTAGAACAGGGAAATGATTATAGTAAGACTTTTTACTTGTTATCTTGGGAGTTTTGTTCTCTGAGCTGGATGGTCTGGTTGTGGAGCTTTCACCGTTCTTTTGAAAAACACCATATCAGAGCCTGAAATGTGTGCTGCTGATGTTGTTAAAAAAACGATGAAAGCTCCACGACCAAACCATCCAGCTCAGAGAACAAAACACCAAAATCATTCAACTGAGCAACAAATCTCCACCATATTTGTTATCGTATATTATCACAAAAAATTACTCATTCTATACTTTTTTCTCTCTTTAATCCATAACAGAATGGTACATTAGTAATACCAAGTGAGAATCCTGAATGGCGGATACGATATACAAATTTAATGAATAGTTTTACAGAAAACAATGGAACACTCATTAAATTAGCTGAAAATGTCTTCGACGCTGGATTTACACGTCAAATTGATCATTTACTTGGGAGAAGACATATGCATTCACGTATCTATTTCGGCTATGAAAAACCAATTGAATCACCACAGAAATTTATTGACTAAACGGAAACGAAACACTATATATATAAAAATTCCATTACAGCTCCCGATGAATATATCAATGGCATACTAATCCTTATCCAATAAGATATAAACAACTTTATTCTCATATGCCTGTTCGCCTTTCACAATCTATTCTCATTTTTTTGTATAATCGACCACATCTTTACTGTATCTTGCTCATTCTTAATTGTTATTGTGTATAAAATTAATCTAACTACAAAAGAATAACACTCAATTTACTTTATTTGCATGAAGAAAAACAGAATACTCGGTAGCACTATCAAATTAAAAGCCGAGATAATGGCAGGGACTTGAATAATGATGAAATAATATAAGACTGTAAAAAGACAAACTTTTTCAATTATTTAGATATATACTGCTTATGCGTATATATCATTCTCCGCCTGTCTATATATTGTACACACTTTATAGCAAATGTGCATATTACTTACACACTAACAAGTAGCTTATTTCATATATATAAAATTATTTTTTACATTACAAATAACATGATACGCACTCATTCCATAAACACATATATACAGAAATAGTTATGTATGTATGTGAAAAAGAACAAAGGAAAAGACAATGTCTTTCGTTACTTCATTTAAATTGTATTTTTTGTTCGGAAATTATTTAATTCATCGGAGATATTGTCTTCATCATCATCATCATTATCATCCTCATCACCATTATTATTATTATAATCACCGTCACCATCGTCTTCTGTGTAGCATTGTTCCTTTTTTATCTTGATGTCTACATGGTTTTCGAGTTTTTTAAATTGATTTATACTGTCTGTTAGTTTTTTCTTTAATCGCATTTCGTATAAATCTTTTTCATTTTCTAATTGTTTGATTTTTTCCCATTTCATTCTAAATATGGTAGAAATAAAAAAACGGTGAGAAGATAAAAAATATACTGGATAAGTAGTTAGTAGATGTTAAAAAGTTGTGAGCTCAAAGAAATGTCACTCATGAATTTGTTTATCTGAATAAGCAGACGAAAATAAGAAAAAAAACAGTGGATTAATCTCGGAACCAATACAAATGATAAACTATTGACCTTTTTACAGTCAATCAGTTATAAACAACCTTAAGTAGGATTTAATTTACCAGACTACATCAATGAGTACAGAAAACAAATAGTACTAATGATGGTGAGAATTAAGCACAAATGGATACAATTACGGAATAATTAGTATGAAATAGAATTAATATTTGAAGGGAGATACAAAAAAATGTGAATGTATATATGATCTTGTGATCGATTTTGAGTTACATAGGCCTCCTAGCATAGATCACAGAGTACAGGTTGGAATTCAATTGATAAATTTGTACATTTTAACGTGGTTCAGTTCAATGGCTTCATGGATTAATTGTATGTTTACGTTTGATCACCCCTAGGCCTGTCTTATTCCGACCTACTTCACTTGTAGCTACGAACTCACATCAGAGAAGTCAGTAGCTGAAGATAAGCAATACATACTACATCTACTTAGGTCAATATATACATTCTCATCAACTGACTTATCACTTTTTAACTATAACTACGGTCCCAACTTGACATTAGTAAATTCATGCTTCCATTATATGTGAGCATGTTTCGAAGTTATCTACAATCTGTTGGAAAATGCACTAGCCCACTAAAGATTAGACTCAAATTAGTCGAGATAGGCTGTTATTAATCTTCAAACCGCTTGCATGCAAATCGGCAATAACAAATTCGGCCACATCTACAATGACTAACTCTTAAGAATACCCTGAAGAATCCTATAAATACGCTTCCTTCCCATAAGTAATCGTCATTTTGAATGGCAGTAAAGCGTCTCCTTTCTTATGTCTCTTCAATAATTGGATACTGGGTTAAGAGTAATGGGGGGGGGTAGTGAAAGTTTAGTTGAAGGTTATTTTGCGTTTTATCCACTGTTGAGTTGTTATTCCGAATATGATCAAACACGAGAAATCTAACCATATTGTCTGCCTCCAAAATTAGTTTTATCGGTTAAAATTATAAACAACTAATGGCTTCAGGAAATATTCACAGACATATTACCTGTGCTACAGGTAGCCTAACATGACTGAAACCCATAATTTAGACAGGATTTAGATAAAATATGTCAGTTAAATAAATGAATAAGAATGACATAACATATAGTATAAATCAGAAAATATTGACATGACTCTGTCCGATGAGAACACCAACGATCAACGATAATAGAGTTCTATGTTCCGAAATGACACAAGTCATCCAAAATAAACAAAAGCTAAGAGTACTTAGACGGATAAATGGGTAAGAAATATTGTTATCTTGTGACTACAGTTACTAAACACCTCTGTGGAATGTCGTTTCATATATATAACAAGTACATTATAATGTAGTCGATAACATGATTAACCTAAGAGATTTCATGATCTCTGTTTTGTCGAGGTCACTCAAACCTAATGAAATCAAACAATAAGTTAATCGATTGTTTTCTAAGACACCAAGTGAACTAAACTAAATGCAAATTAATGACAAAAAATATGTATTTCTACACTTTTAATCAGTAATCGATCTATTATTAGTCGTACATGGAGTTATTAAAAAGGATCTATTTGAAGAGAGGAAACTTTTAAAAATGTACTTAGGTGTTGACTCATCATAGTATTTATGGTCAAGATGTGCTACGTGTGCCTAAGCACCGTCTACTTCGATGAGTGATGTTGTTTGGTGTAAGAGTGAACTATAAGGAAGTTAGGGGTAGCCAAATCAAAACATTACATCAGTCCATCAAGTCAATGACAGTTGAACTGAGTAATGACAGTAGCAGTATACTACCTGGTTGCGGTTCACGTCATTATCATAACCAGTGGTCAGAGGTTTTGAATTATATGGCTCAAAATCGTTCGCAGTGGTGCAGATGGATGCATTCTGTGTCTTTCCTCAGACTCTGAGTTGTGAATTCATCATAACTTTTTGTGTTTTTATTTCACTAATTTATATTTTCTTGTCGAGTTGTATGTTCAATGAGTTATATTTTCTATTTCCACTGATACTGTTATTACCTCTACTATTGTGGAGTTTGGTCTGACCATTTCATCTCTGTGTGCCAATGGGATATGACAACTTGGACCGATGTATATACGTGCCAGGTTTTATTTTACAACTAACTGAATGGCTTAGCATTTATGTACTAAAGCGAAGTCAGTGTTTTCATTTTTCGAAACACTTCAATTCATCCCATAAAATTCTTTTGTAATGACGCCATAGGTGACTTTCTTTATGAGGTCATAATCATTAATTATTATGTTGAGACTTTGGACTACGTTGTTTGAAAGACAGGATAAATTATTCATTTAAAGTGAATGATTCTCTTGATAAATTTTGAATGAACCGATTTACAATAGTGGTTACATATATTTGGATATTTGATATATAAAATCAAGGGTCGTTTATGAATTGTATCTCTAGTATCACTTGAGTCAATACTCACCAAACGATAATGGACTCAAGAAAAACAAACCTCATGAATTGTAACTACTTATTAGTAATATAGAGGATTTAAAGAAAAACAAGTAGGTCATGACACTTGTAATAGATTGTTTGGTGATATTGTGGTGTATGTAACACTAATCGGAAGTGGAAATCATGACAGTAGATGGTCAAGAAGATCAAGTTGGAGAGGGTGGAAAGAGAAATAGAAAGGAATTGCAATTAGGAAGAATCATACAGAATATGAAGGATAAATGATAGAAATCTGCAAATGAAGTATTCAATGTATGGTTCTCATATTTTACCAAGATATTCTGTAATTTCGTATTAAAATACAGTTGGCTGTCTCCACCTGTATTCTCGTTCACAAATATATGACTCGGAATCAATTATAATAGCTCAGATGAATTTTCTATTTCTCTCCTCTTATATCATGAATTAAAAATTATTTCATACTCTTCATTCGGTGAATTTACTCCTTCTTCTCGGATCTCATTGTTTATGCCGAATGTTTTCTATTAACTTTGATATTCTCACTATTTCTACTACCCTGACATTTATTTACATAATTTCATTTCACTATGCTAACATAGTGTGGTGGCAACTTAAACCAGTGCACACAAGTACCACGCATGACTGATCCATGGAATCTGATCTTTTCGAAAGGTAGAATAACTATTTAGTATTAAATGTCACCAAACAGAAATGTGATCCGTTAGAAATCAGGGTACATTATGGTTTGATCTTAACAGATTTTGTTAGTAGATAACGTTAAAATCTGTGATAAACTATGAAATATATTGTTTAAAAAAAGGAAATTTAGAGACCCAGGTGCTATTACTTAACACGTTTCAAAAAATATAATAACTTCTGATAAGCGATAGTAACCGGTTGCCAAAATTGAAGTAGGCGGGGTGGGGTTCGGACCTGAGACTTAATGATTAAACACCGAATATTTCAATCGCGGAGCCATTCACCTGCTTGTGGAGTCACGATCACAGAAAATGGTCGTAAATTGATTATCTCAGTCATTAGTCATCAACAACATAGGACCAGGAACATATATATGCATCGGTCCAATTCGCCATACATCATTAACACAAGATGAACACAAAATTCATAGAAGTTACTTCACTGGCCGCAATGTATAAAAAAGATTGCATACAAGGATATGATACAGGGAGAAAGAACTAGTTCGTAGAAACGAAAGGCAAAAAGTAATTTTAATCTCATAATGTAAGGGAAGATAGAGAGTGTATACACCGACGCCATTGTGATCGGTTCTCAGTCATGTCACCAAGAGTCTCCAACCATTGGTTACGATGGTCACGCGGACTCCAACCAAGTAGTTTGCATCTCCCAACATGGCTCAGACTAGAAGTTATTGTCTTCAAGCACTGATGCCACGTTTTGGTTTGGCCGCCCCTAACTTTCAACAATACCAAACACCGGTTAGCATTTCACGTCGTGGTAATCGGTGTTCAGGCATACGTAACACGTCCCCCAACCATCTCAGTCGATGAAGATTTACAACCTCATCAACTGATTTACCATCATTCCGTAATATCCTGTGTCTAGCCTCACTATTACTTACCCGGTGATCCCAGCAGATGCCAGAAATATTTCTAAGACATCTGTGGTCAAATACTAGTAGCTTACGAGTACCTTCTACTCTTAATGGCCGTGTTTCACTGCCGTAAAGTAAAACAGAACAAACTGCCGCACAGTATACTTGTCCATTAATTGATAGACGGATATTTCGCCTCCGCCATAGG